CCATCACCTCCTTTCCTTCTCTCCCTCCCTCCTCTCCCACCATGACGCAAGGAGCAGGCTCCAGCAGACACCTCTGTCTTCCTCACCGTCCGTCCAGCGCTGAAGGAGCGAGGAGACTGTCGAGTCTCTTCATTCGGATACATCGGCAGCTACATCAATGTGAGCAACCTTTCGCCCGTGCTCCTTCAGCTGACTGATCTTCCGAAGGAGCTGAAGTCGATCCTCGACTTGTGGAAGCAGAAGGATGTGGGGGACGTCGTCAGGTCCATCCTCTGCCCCCGCAAGGACTTCCTCGGCGACTACGTCCTCCAGCCCCTCATACCGAAAGTTCCCGTCAACAGCTGCCAGAAAGTCGTGGTCATGTCGCTCAAACATGCTCTAGAGAAGGTTCAGGGCCCTCCAGGTGCTGCCCAGCTCACATTTCGACATGCTTTCACTCTCCTTCTACCCTCCTTCTCCCTCTGCTCTTCCTGCTCCTGCTCCTGCTCCTGCTCCTGCTCCTGCTCCTGCTCCTGCTCCTGCTCCTGCTCCTGCTCCTGTTCCTGCTCCTGCTCCTGCCCTTGTCGCTTCCCCTTCTCCTACCCATACATTATTTTGTCGCTGCTCGACCGCCCTCATCGTGTTTCCTGCGTCGTCCTTGTACTCACAGCTGCTGAGCAGGCACTGGGAAGTCAACGACGATCTTCCACATCATCTCTTCAAGGCTTTCTCCCTCCTCCCGCGTGCTCGTAACGTGCTCCCGCAACGTCGCCATCGAGTCGCTCGTACAGAAGCTCGAGTCGCACTTCAGCTCTTCCATGCTCGTCTTCGGCAACGTCACGCGCATTGGGGAGACGGCCTGTAAGTACCTCCTTGATGCCCGAGCCGAGAACGACCCCATCCTCGCCCAGCTAGTGTCCAGCACTGAGACGCTCCGGTACTTCTGCTCTGTGATCCAGACGGAGTTTGCGGGCAAGGTGGCGATCAGTAGGCGTGCGCCCCTGCGATGGCAGCGAGCGTGGAGGAGGCACATGGAGAGGAGATACGAGAGGGAGCTGCTCTTCTTCGAGTGGGGCATGCGAATCATGTCGCTGTTCGAGACGTTCCAGTCGCTGAGGGGGAGGGAGAGCAGGAGGGAGCTGCTGCGGTCCAACAGGATCTTCCTCTGCACCGTTGCCAGCACTGGGTCGATGATCCGGGTGTGGGATGAGTTTGTCAGCGAGGCTCTCGATGTCCACACGGTGAGAATTTGTCTTCCTTCCTCTTCGTTTGCTCCTGCTCACACTGTCGGCTCATCGCCTGCTCCTGCTCCTGCTCCTGCTCCTGCTCTATTCCCCCCTCCTTCCTCCCGGTTCCCCCTCCCCTCCTCTTCTCCCGCCGTCTCTGTGTCTTGCTCCAGCTCGCCTCCCAACTGTCACCAGCTGCCTCCTCCTCTTGACCTCCTGCCTCAATCAGGTTATCGTGGACGAGTGCGGCTGCACCCCTGAGTCCAGCGTCGCCCTCCTGCTTCGTTTCTCCCCCAAGAACCTCATCCTCATTGGCGACCACAAGCAGCTTCCTCCTACCTCCATGATCTCTCCGCAGGTGAGGAGGAGGAGGAGGAGGAGGAGGAGCAGGGCAGGCGGCGGGAGGGGGGAAGGGGGGAAGAAGAGGAGGAAGAGGAGGCCCTCTCCTGCTCTTCCGTGACTTGCAGGAGCAGGAGAGTCACGGTACAGGGCATGTTCGGTCCCTCCTTGAGCGCTGCATCCTCTCCAGTGGCTCCTACCACAAGTTGAAGGAACAGGCAAGCGATTTGCCTTTCTTCTCTCCCCATCCACCGTCTCCTTCTTCTGCTACTTCTCCCGCTCCTGCTTCCGCTCCCATCACAGATGCTCTCTACTATCTTCCCATCCTCTCTCTTCCTTCGCCCTCCTCTTCTCATCCTTCTACTTGCCGCCTCCTCACCCGTAAGGTTCTTATCGGCTCCTTCAGTATCGGATGCATGATAAGATCTGCGATGTTGTATCCGAGAGATTTTACAACGGCAGTTTGATCACCAACAAAGAAATCAGCCGCATCAGGAGGCAGACTTCTGCCCATCCCTTGGTACTTCTTGTTTCTCTTCTGCTCCTGCTGCTGCTTTTCTCTTCCCCTTTTAGCTTTTTCAACCTTGTCCTCCTTCTCTCCTGCCTTGTCTTCTTCTCCCCTCTTCCCTCCCTCCAACTCTTACCTGGTCGTCTCCTCTGCTCCTCCTCGGTCTCCTCGCTGTTATCCACCCTTCTTATCGGACTCAATCTCCTCCTCATCATCGATATCCCTCCCTCTTCCTCCTCTCCGAGCTCATGGGCGCGCAGGTTTGGGTCTCAACCTTTGGAGCAGAGGATGTGAGCGAGCGGTCAAAGTCCTACTACAATCAGGAGGAGGTGGACGCCTGCGTCAGGGTTGCCAAGAGCCTGCGAGGAAAGGATCCTTTCTCCTCCATCGCCATCCTCGCCTTTTACAGGGGGCAGGTGCAGGAGGTGGCGAAGAGGGTCGGGGAGGAGGAGCGAGTGGAGGTGATGACGGTGGACTCGTGTCAAGGGAGCGAGTTCGAGCATGTAGTCCTGTCCCTCGTCCGATCCAACAGGATGGGCAAGTTGGGGTTCGTGAAGGACAAGCAAAGAATCAATGTCGCCATCTCTCGCGCCAAGAAGTCGCTGGTCATAGTCGGCAACGAGAGGATGGCATCTTCCGATGAGGACTGGGCTGCCGTGTGCCGAGCTTGCGAATCGCTTCCCCTTGACAGCTTCGACCTCTCCTCCTTCCCTCCTCCTCCTCCTCCTCTTGTCAAGAAAGACGTCCCCCGTGCCCCCCCGATGGAAGGAGGAGCGCGCTTGCCGGTCTACTCGTTGCCGCCACTTCTAGCCGGGGCAGACGAGGAGGAGGAGGAGGAGGAGGAGGAGGAGAACTTGTACGATGCCTACTCAAGGGACAGCAGCAGCAGGAGTGGGAGGATGAGAATAGATACGGCAGCAGCCGCTCGATTCATCACGCACGCGATAGGAAGGAGCGGAGTTCTCCCTCCTCTCCCCTCCAAGCCCGAGCCTCGTGCCTCCTCCTGGGCCAAGGCGATCAAGATGGGTGGTGGCGGCGGCAAGAGCGGCAACAGGGTGACTGGCGGGGGAGGAAGGAGCAACGGAGGAGGAAAGAGCGTCGGAGAAAGTTGTGGCGTTAAAGGGAAAAGGAACGAAGAGGGGAGGAGAAAGCAGGAGGAGACGTGCGCTGAGTGTGGGATCCGAGGAGACGGCCTGGAGCAGGACGAAGACAACCCTGGCACCTATTACTGCCTGGACTGCTGGTTCTCGTGGCAGGAGGAGGAGGAGAGGAAGGAGCAGGGGCTGTTGGGGATCCGTGAGGAGAGGAGGGAGGAGAGGAGGGAGGAGAGGAGGGAGGAGAGAATTGAAGGGCTGACTGAGGAGTCACTAGTTGACATCTTCGGGAACAGGAGGGAGGTGGAGGAGGTGCTGCGGAACTTTGCGGGGTTGGAGGACCGGCTGGAGAGGACCTTCACCGTGCTACTAGAGCGAAATTCTGCCAAAGACTTCTTCGCGGAGGAGGAGGGAGAGGATGTGGAGCTTGAATGGGACTACTTCCATGTGGACGAGGGAGAGGAGGAGGAGGGAGAGGAGGAGGAGGAGGAAGAGGAGGAGGAGGAGGAGGAGGAGGAAATCTTGAGTGTAAAGTCAGGGCATCGCACTGGAGCTGAACAGAATTCCACGAGAAATTCTCGACCCGGAGCAGGAGCGGGAGCAGAAGTGGGAAAACGACCAGGGAAACAAGAGGGGCAAGGAAGTGGAGAAGTGAAGGGGAAAGGAGCAGAAAAAGGAGCAGGGAGATTGGAGAGGCAAGCATCGGGAAACGGGAAAGGAAAGGGGACTGGGAAAGGGGAGAAAACGGGAGCGGGAGGGGAAAGGCAGGGGGACGAAGCAGGAGGAAAAGGACCGGGAGTGAAGAAGGGAACTGGAAGAGAAGTGCATGGGAGAGCGGTAACCAAGGGGGCAAAGGGAGCAGCGTCGGCGGAAGTGGACACAGCAGCAGCAACCACAACAAGAGCAGCAGGTGCAGGTGCAGGTGCAGGTACAGGTGCAGGTGCAGGTGCAGGTGCAGGAGCAGGAGCAGGAGGAGCAGCAAGCGAGGAGAAGCTGTGTCAGGAGTGCGAAAAGATTGGGATGGGTGCCGTTGACCCGGAAGATGAGCTCTTCTACTGCGACGCCTGCTGGAGTCTCTACCTTGAAGACGACAAGGAGGAGGAGGAGGAGGAGGAGGAGAAGAAAGTGGAGGAGGAGGAGGAGGAGGAGGAGGAGGAGGAGGACGACGAGGAGGAGGACAGCAAGAATCCTACTCGCCTCCAGCTGATTTCAGAGCTGAGGAGGTTGCTGGCAAGAGATGAGGACTGGAGGAGTCTTGACGAAGAAGTGATGGCGGCGGCGATGCTGTCGGCTGGGACGGAGGAGGAGTGGAAGGAACTGCTGCGAAATAGCATGGGGAGGATGCGGAAAGTTGATCAGTTCTCACGGCGATCATGGTAGGAGGAGGCGGGGAGGGAGGGGAGAGAGAGACGAGACGAGGAGAGGGAATAGGTGGGCAGAGGAGGGGAGGGGATGGGAGGAAAGCAGTTTGGAGGGAAGAGCTGAACCA